CCTCAGCCTCCCAAAGGTGCGGGATTACAGGCTGAGCCACCGAGCCCGGCTTGTCATTTTCTTTTATTTGTTTTTTTGAGTCAGAGTCTCACTCTGTCGCCCAGACTGGAGTGCAGTAGCCGCTCTGGCTACCGCATCCTCGACCTGCTGTGCTCCAGCGATCCTTCTGCCTCAGCCTTCCAGGTAGCTGGAACTACAGGTGCGTGCTACTATGCCTGGCTAGATTTGTCATTTTCTTGAGAGGAGTCCATCAAGATTAAAGTTGTTAGTTTTTGAATTCTTAGATAACTCACTCACCAAATGGTAATGTATTTGATTTTTTTTTTTTTTTTTTTTTTTTTTTTTAGTTGGAGTTTCACTTTGTTGCCCAGGCTGGAATGCAGTGGCATGCTTACGGCCACTGCAGCCTCCACCTGCTGGGCTCAGTCCATCCTTCCATCTCAGCCTTACAACTAACTGGAACTACAGGTGTGCACCACCATGCCTGGCTAATTTTTTGACTTACTGTAGAGAGGAGGTCTCACCAAGTTGCCCAGGCTTGTCTGGAACCCCTGGGTTCAGGCGATCCTCTTGCCTCTGCTTCCCAAAGTGCTGGATTACGAGCCATTGTGCCCAGCTTGATTTTTTTTTTTAATATGTTTCTCTGGAGTTTGTTTTTAAGGTCTTTTAGATTAGGTAATATATTTGGCCTGGGCCCGGCCCTCTGGAGTTAGGTCCCTTGAGGTAATGAGAGTAAACGAGATCATAAAGGTGGAGTCCTAATCCAGTGTAAGGATTAGTCCTTACTAGGAGATGAAGAGCTAGAAAGGAAAGGCTAGGTGAGGACACAGCGAAAGGTAGCCCTCTGTAAGCTACAGAGGCATCTCAGGAGAATCCAGCTCTGTCATGTCAGGATTTTGGGCTTAGGGTCTAGAACCATGAGAATGAGAAAAGAAATTTCTGTTGTTTCTTTTGTTTAGTCATCCAAACAAAGTAACAAAAAAAAAAAAGAGAGAAAAAGTGTCTTCCTTTGTTATGTAAATTTTCACCCCCTTTTTGTCTTGTCTTGATAGTATATGAGATAAACAATGAAGATGTGGATGCCTTAATGAAGAGCTTGCAGGTCAAATCTTCACCTGTGGTAAATGATGGAGTGGTTCGTTTGCGAGGACTTCCTTATAGTTGCAATGAGAAAGACATTGTAGACTTCTTTGCAGGTGCTTTGCAGTTATATCGTGTTTGGGGCCTCATATCTTTTTTCATGATTTCCTCCCATTGTCTCCTTCTGAATTCAGTAGTTATAGATGAGCCTTTTCTTAGGTAACAACATATAGTTATATTATGTTCTTTTAATTTATTGTAGCGGTGAGGTCTCACCAAGTTGCCCAGACAACATACAGTTATGTTCTTTAGGGGAGAGAGCTCTTTACTTGACTTTCTAATATTTGTAGATTTTTTTGTGTGTATTTTGCTTTGTCAGACAGATCTTTGTCAGATTTCAAAATAATTTCATGAGGGCTTGTTATACTAATAAAATATCTTCTCATAATAGTGGCTTTATTTGAGACAGTTAACAATTTATGTAATTTAAAAGCATTATCTAATTCTTGGCCGTAAAATATACACCATTAGTAGTGATGTTAGACTAGATCTCTGTTGCCTCCTAATATATAATAAGTGGCAAGAAACAAGTGGTGGAGAGAGTTGTGTGTTTTAAGTGGGCTGCTTGAACCCTAAACGTTCTGGAAGTATAGGTGTGTAGGTGCTATGAACTTTTGACTGGGTAATAAATTTGTCCCCATTAAGCATGCATTCAATTTTGGGACTGCAAAACAGCATAAAAATTTTATTAGTATGTGAATGATTGTGTTAATTCTAAGAATAAAAAAAACTGTTAGCCCTAATTTGTAGTAATTTTTTGGTGTCTTAGGACTGAATATAGTTGACATTACTTTTGTGATGGACTACAGAGGGAGAAGAAAAACTGGGGAAGCCTATGTGCAATTTGAAGAACCAGAAATGGCCAACCAAGCCCTATTGAAACACAGGGAGGAAATTGGTAACCGGTGAGTAAAGCACCAATGATGCAGAAGTATCCCACATCAAGTCATTTAGACAGATGTGCTGTGATATGACATAAAGTCATCCAAACTCAGAATAAGTAGAGGAGGAGGTAGTATGGTGAACCATCAGCTATCGCTTAGATGAACACATTTCTAACGTTCATTGTACTTGGTTCATTTGTTTCTTCAGTATGCATCTTTAATAAAAAGACGTTTTCTTTTTTTTTAGATTAGAAAATATAGTTTATTTAAAACCTGAATGAGAGAGAGAGAGAGAGAGAGAGAGAGAGAGAGAGAGAGAGAGAGAGAGAGAGAGAGATAGAGAGAGATAGATAGAGAGATTTATCTCCCCAAGGCAGGGGAGGGGGAAACAGCCTGGTCATAGCTCAAAGAGCACATAGCCACACAATAGCTTAACCAGGTAATGGCCCCAAAAGACGTTTTCTTACATAATCATAATATAACTAGCAAAAATTTATTATCTGATAACAGTTCATAATCACATTTTCCCAGTCATACCAAATATATATATATACTTTTTTTTTTTAAGTTTAATTTTATTTTTTGAGTCGGAGTCTCACTGTCGCCCAGGTTGGAGAGCAGTGGCATGCTTATGGCCACTGCAGCCTTGACCTGCTGGGCTCAGATGATCCTTCCACTTTAGCCTTACATGTAGCTGGAACCACAGGCATGTGCTACCATGCCCGGCTAATTGTAGTCTGACTCTGTCACCCAGGCTGGAGGAGTGCGGTGTCATGCTCATGGCCACCACAGCCTTGACCTACTGGGCTCAGATGATCCTTCCGCTTCAGCCTTCCACGTAACTGGAACCACAGGCATGTGCTACCATGCCCGGCTAATTGTAGTCTCACTCTGTCACCCAGGCTGGAGGAGTGCAGTGCCATGCTCACGGCTACCACAGCCTTGACCTGCTGGGCTCAGATGATCCTTCCACTTCAGCCTTCCATGTAGCTGGAACCACAGGCATGTGCTACCATGCCCGGCTAATTGTAGTCTCACTCTGTCACCCAGGCTGGAGGAGTGCAGTGTCATGCTCACGGCCACCACAGCCTTGACCTGCTGGGCTTTGGTAATTCTTCTGCCTCAGTCTTCCAAGTAGCTAGAACTACAGGCGTGCCCAGGCTGGAGGGCAGTGGCACTCTCCTGGCCAGTCACCGCAGCCTCAGTCTTTCTGCCTCAGCATTCCAAGTAGCTAGAACCACAGGCATGTGCCACCATGCCCGGCTAATTTTTTCATTTATTGTAGAGATGAGTTCTCACCAAGTTGCCCAGGCTGGCCTTGAACTTACGGGTTCAGGCAGTCCTCTCACCTTGGCCTCCCAAAGTGCTGGGGCCAATCCCAGTATTATGATAAATGCTCATGGTCTGCTTATGAGTGAAAACATGTGGTACAAAGTTCTTTGTTCCTGTGATAGATCACTGAGTATGATAGACTCTAAATCTATTTAAGTTGCTGCAAGGT